ATAAAATACTTAAAAACATTTTAAAATTTGTCCCATAAGAATAACATTAGGAGCTACCTTCTTCTTCTTTTTATTTGTTTACGTTTTGTGACCAACAATTTTGTCGAAACGGCACACGGAAGATTTCTCAGGTGCCGTTTGACGTCACTAACTGCTGACGTCAGTCGAGGGAACACTATTACCAAAACGATACGGAATTGAGCCATCGGCCTCTGTGGTGTAGTGGCTAGCGTGTCGGGCCGATAATCCGAATGAACCGGGTTCGAATCCCGCTGGTAGCATTAACTTTTTGTCAAAATTTTTTTTATATCAGCAAGTTTGGTTGGTTTGGTTAGTTTAATTTTATAATTAAAAATTAAATCAAATTAAATTAAAAAATTATAAAGTTGAATTTTAGGCATTTATAATTTTATTTTATGAACAAAACTATTTTTTAGATTAGTAAACCTTCATTCGATTTTTTCATTATCAGCACGTTTGGTTAGGTTATGACAGTTTAATTTAATAATAGAAAAATTATAAAATTGACTGTTTCTTCAGACGCAGCAGTTAGTGACGTAAAACGGCACCTGAGAAATCTTCCGTGTGCCCCACCGCAATTTTGTTGTCTACTTAAGACAGAGAGAACGACTTTTGCTCTAAGCTCTTTTATTCATGGAGTAAACAGTTTGGCGTCTATGAATATATATCATTATAATTTCACAGCTTTCAGAATAATGTTATTTAAGCTAAAATTAAATTTTAACAACTTTCAGAATAATAAATTGAACTTAACAATATTAGTCGGAAGTTATATACCGGTACCGTTTATGTTCAGTATTAAAATTCACCTTAAAATTAAAAGTAGCCTATAAAGGTATATATGTATTTAGAACAAAGCAGCTTTTTACATTATTCAATTTAATGTTGGCATTGAATATTAAATATTCAAAGATGTTGGTATATTTTAATACTAAAATAGTATGCGAAGGGGGGGGGGGGGGGAAACAGGTCCCCAACGTAGAGAGTGGTAAAGGAAGCGGAAAGGTGAGCAGTGAAAAGAAAGGAGTACGGAAACCCTTTATGACTGTTAAATTAACGTATCTGTAATACTTAAATGCTATGGAAAGATAGGGAAACAGGTCTACGATGTAGGAAGTAGTGAAGGAAATAGTGAAGGAAGTAGTCAAGGAGAGCAGTCCGGAGTGTGTGTAAAAACCCTTTGTGACAGTTAGATTAATGTAACTGCAATTCTAAAATGCTATGGGAAGGGAGGGAAACAGGTCCACGAAGTAGGAAGCGGTGAAGGATGTAGTCAAGGTGAGCAGTCCGGAGTGTGGGAACCCTGTATGAAAGTTAAATTAATCTTTTTGAAATTCTAAAATGCTATCGGAAGGGAGGGAAACAGGTCCACGACGTAGGAAGCGGTAAAGGAAGTAGTCATGGCGAGCATTCTGGAGTGTAAAAACCCTTTGTGACAGTTAGATTAATGTAACTGCAATTCTAAAATGCTATGGGAAGGGAGGGAAACAGGTCCACGACGTAGGAAGCGGTGAATGATGTAGTCAAGGTCAACAGTCCGGAGTGTGGGAACCCTTTGTGAAAGTTAAATTAATCTATTTGAAATTCTAAAAATGCTATGGGAAGGGAGGGAAACAGGTCCACGACGTAGGAAGTGGTAAAGGGAGTAGTCGAGGCGACGAGTCCGGAGTGTGGGAACCCTTTTTGAAAGTTAAATTAATCTATTTGAAATTCTAAAATGCTATAGGAGGGGAGGAAAACAGGTCTACGACGTAGGAAGTGGTGAAGGATGTAGTCAAGGTCAACAGTCCGGAGTGTGGGAACCCTTTGTGAAAGTTAAATTAATCTATTTGAAATTCTAAAAATGCTATGGGAAGGGAGGGAAACAGGTCCACGACGTAGGAAGTGGTAAAGGGAGTAGTCGAGGCGACGAGTCCGGAGTGTGGGAACCCTTTTTGACAGTTAGATTAATGTATCTGCAATAATAAAATGCTATGAGAAGAGAGGGAAACAGGTCCACGACGTAGGAAGTGGTGAAGGAAGTAGTCAAGGTGAACAGTCCAGAGTGTGGGAACTCTTTGTGACAGTTAGATTAATGTATCTGCAATAATAAAATGCTATGAGAAGAGAGGGAAACAGGAAATACATTACGTATATTACCAATGACTTTGGTTAATTAATGGACGAGAAGTTAGGATTGTTTTTGACTGAGATTTGGTTTATTTTAAGAGGTTGGCAGCCTCTTTTAACCTTGCATTTGCCCGTCCACATAGACTAAGCACCCGTGCGTGGATCGTTTACAGCAAACCAAGGGGTGAGCCGGTACGGTACAAAGGTGAACTGTACTGATAAAATTTAGTGGCAGTGACCAGGATCCGAACCCACGACATCGCTGCCTTGGGCCCGACGTCCGCGTGACGCTACCGACTCACCATTATTTGCCCCGACTCATGGGTTGATTTACCCATAAAAATAACTTTATTGTGTTCACCAGTGACACCGGTAAGTATGCTAGGTGTGGGTGGACTCTCATTATTGCGCTCATGTTCACTCATCCCGTTACGCGCAGAATAAGCGTACTACTAGTTAATTACAAAAAATATTAAGGGTGTAGGTACCGGTACTTACTGTAACGAAAAAATTTATTTTTAACTATGTTTATACCTATTCTTATGCCTATAAAACACATGGTAAGTTTTTTTTTTTTTTTTTTTGTAGTTCATATCCCCTTAATATATGAAAATGAACTAGGTACCACAATGTACCTACAATGTACTACAATGTCTAGTACTAAGATGTAATTAGTCAGACTGTCTATAATGTGACGAAATCCCCTTTAGCTTATATATATAGAAAACATTATTGTCTACCTACAGAATCACTTGAAATATTCTCTAGTCTATTATAATATTTTATAATCAACGATTTTATTCTTCTAATCTATGTTGCTCATCTTGTTGATACTTAACCTTTAACTTAACGTAGCAGACGGACTAGCAGTTTGGTTTTGGTACCGTATTAACTTAAAAATACTTCTCTAGTTTTATTTATTTACAGAATGCCATAACCAAACTTGCTCTACCATTTCAAAATTCCGTTTGATAACAGAAAAGGCTTGTGGGGAATATTTTTAAAACATAATTTTGACATGGTACAGCTAGTTTGGTTAGCTATGTTAGGTTGGTTTAGAAAATTTTTATTTCAATATGTATTTATCTTAGTTGAAAGCTGAAATGTTTCAATTAGTTAATATCAATGTATCAGGATCAAAAAATAAAATAGGCCTATCGATATGTACATCAAAAGATATCATCGATATTAATGAATGTTCCCTTTAACAGGAAAGTACCCATTTGTCAATCAATGCATTATAATAATAGGCCTACTTAAATTTAAATAGTAAAAAATCCAAATAAAATAATTTAATAATAAATAATAAATTAAATAAAATTAAATAATAAAATAAAATAATAATCTAGAGCGTTGAAACTCTTGTGTAAAGGACTCAACTGTGTCTCGAAGACCGAGTGACAACATCAGATCTATGAGTAGCTTTGCGGAGGGAAAATTTTTGTCGGTCAAGTCAATATTAAAGTCTCCTGCAACAACAAATGATAGGTTCTTATCCTTCAAGGAATCAAAACATGCTCGAATGTTACTTAAGAATTTCAGAATGTTGCTTTGTTTATTGCTTCGAGATCTATACACACAAACAAAGATAATATTAAGAGTTCCCTTTATTATTTTAATCGCAGTCAGTTCACATATTCTTTCAATACAAAACCTAGAGACATCTAACAAGGTATAATCTAAATTATCAGGTGTAATTATACATACTCCTCCCTTGTGTGAATGGATGCGACAAAAACTAGCCGCTACTGTGTAGCCAGGTATTCGAAAAGTAGGCGTAACCTTGTAGTTAGCCTACATTGAAATTGACAAACTGTCGAAACTAGAACTAAATTTATTGTTTTAGGCTTACAAAAACTACCAACATTATATACAATGTCTTCCCTTGGAGGGATAAGTACATTGTATCCCTCATGCCTCCCGGGAGAGCCCTGCCATGACTAATAATGTCCGCATCAGGCCACCACTGACCCCAGGTCTCTTATTGATTGAGGCTTTTTATTGATAGAAACTTAAATAAAATCAGGCTTACGTTTGTGCTAACAAAATTTCCTTCAATATCCATAAAAGCAGTCAGTGCTATTTAAGTTTAAGTTAGATTAAAGCGTATTATTTAATCCTGCCAATCTATGTGTCCTTCAGGTTTTTCCTACCGGTTATTTATTTTGATTTGATGGTTAAGTTCAGTCTCTAATAGCCTAGGTCTACCTTTAAAAATATACTTACTTAAGTACTGGTAGGCCTGCCCATTATTTTCTCCATATTATTCAGGATTAACCAATAATTGTATTTAATAGTTGATAAAAACTTGACTTAAAATTACTTAGGATAACCTGAATTCTTCTACATCCCTAGAACTCTATGGTAAGGCATGTGTTTCCTCCCATGAGCCCCAGGTAGGGTATACTTAACATTTAAAGTAATTGAATAAGTTACAGAAACATTATTATGTGCTTAATAGCATTGACTATGCACAGATTTGTGTATAGTCAATGTTAATAGTTAGGGAGAAAATTCAAAAACCTGTGAAAAAATATTTTAATCAGATTTGGAAAATAATTTTATTTTATTCTATTAGGCCTACCAAAAGTTTTACTAAAAATCACTTTCATTACCTTAAGCAGTGAACCTAAGTACTTGTTAAACTAATGTTATTTAAATAGGGAATAAGTTAAATCTGACATTTTATGGAAATATTTTAGTGAAAATACAATCAGTCAAACATAAATTTGTTAAGTTTTGCAGTTTTGCTGCAGCAGGGGGTATTTTAAGTATATTATATTCAAAATTAATAAAGGAAATTTGAAAATTATAATCTGCAGTTATGCTGCCATAGAGGTGTGTTTAATTTATCTGTTTTTTTTTTTTAGGTAGAAAAAAAAGGAGTCGGAGTTTTTAAATTTCATCTTGAAAAACTGGTCCAAGAAAAGACTAAGCTTCCACAGTACAACCAGTTTATCAATGTTCCTGCATTTGTGATTGAAACATGTGATTATCTGAGGGATATGATCGAGACTGAGGGTATTTTTAGAAAGTCCGGAGTAGCGGTGCGACAGAAAGAACTAAAGGTAAGTTACCGGTAAGCCTAGTTGATTTGACGATTTCCTTTGACAATACATAAAATATTCATTGCTGCCTTTTATTGAGGACGAGAAACCTGCTTATGGGTTGTCACACACCAGTTCTGTCTGTGAGTCGACACATTGATATCGCTGATTCAGCCCAATTATGTGTACCTACCCACATGTTCCCGCTTTTCCTATTGGTAGCCCCAACAGTGCGTTTCTACCAAATTAAGGTTTTAAGATAAAAATGTAAGCTGAAAAACAAAATTAATGGGCAATGTATGTAGGCAACAATGCCAAAGTCTTTTTGTCAGCAATTCATCCCTACCAGCCTCTCCTTGTACCCCGTGACAGACAACCAACTCGCAGTACCTCCTCGCCCTCTGTACTTCAACCTGTGAAAGTAGTTGAAGACCTGAATAATTCATCCAACACCTTCATATCACTGGGAAGTGAGAACTACCGTCTTAAAACAATTGATTAACTGAAGACTATGATGTTTTTTTTTTTTTTTACAATAGATACCTCTAATGTAAATTGGTGTTTTTATTGGTCACCTGTAATGAGGAACAACTGAACATTTAAACAAATCTTGAATGGGTTTTCCTGGTTTGGACTGGGTGTTAACTGGTCACGGAAATCACGGAAAAGTCACTGCTGTTTTACTATGGGGTCACAGAAGTCACTGAAAAGCAACTCATTTTAAGTGTCAGATTTTTATTTTAAGGTCCCAAATGTCACGGGAAAAATCATCCTAACTAAAACAAAGTTTCTCAGACCTTTTTTTTGTTTTGCACCTTTCTGAAGGCAATGATTAAATTTATAATCCAGGATCAGTGAGGGGGAACATATTTTGGGAACAAGCAACCAGCTGAAACGTTACAGCACAAAATATTATATGTCCGATTATCTCATGTTCAAGTCAATAAATAGTATTGTCTTATCAGTACCATAGGTTTTAACATCAACCACCCCCATAAAGTCATTGAAAAAGCCATTAAAATGTTATCAACAGTAGACACCCTGTTTGGAATACCTTGCACATTATACTTTCTTTGTGAACGGATTACAATTATTTCATGTCCTTGTCCCGAGTATTGGTATAGTTGTGCTTTCCTCTATTTTTTATATTTTGATACAGTTGTTTTTCGTACGTTGCAAATACAGTACCGGTATATCTCACAGGGAACTTGTTAGTAGACACAAGGATCGTCTTGTCCACTGGACGGTTGATCCGGTGTGTATTGACAGCCTCTGGACATCTCGTGCAGATATTGATCAGCCGACAGACGGATAACTGGTGTGTGGTTAGCTCAACCCCTGTAAAGATGTCCTGGCTGTTGCACATGTAGTTTTAATTTTAATTAGAAGAGTCCAATCAAATGTTTGTAAATAATTTTCTAAAGTGTCCCTGATTAGAAACCAAATAAGCAGTTTGGTTGACTATTGATCTGTAATCATTAATTAACATCCCCATCCCACCTAAAGTGCTTTCTGATTGTACCCAGTGCCAAATCATGGTGTTTACTTTCCTTTCTAGTTGAAGTTTTCCATGAAGTTAAAACAACACTAGAAAAACAAAATAACAAATTAATGCCTGTCGACTAACTGTCCAATCATCGCAACTGAAATGTGATGTCATAGACACAGAAAACACACTAACTAAAGTTTACATTTAATTTTATCTTTATAAAATAAATACCTACCATATCTTAGTGGTAATCTAAGAAATTCACACCTGCCTTTTACCAATTGTAGCCTACTTTGTTTGTATTTACAGCGGATAGTTATGAATGGTGGGAAATTGTCAGTTGGTGGCGAGATAAAAGCATATGATGTAGCAGACTTGCTTAAACTCTTCTTCCGTGAACTGCCAGAGCCATGTATTCCGTACATGTTCCATGATACTCTTCAAAGGTACCTGTTTAAGACATTTTGCTTAAGCCAAATTAATAAATTCTGTTTAGTAGTATGAGGGAACCCCTATGCAAATTGCACATTTTAATAGAATTCAAACCATTTTTCCAAGGCAAAACGAATAATGAGGTAGCCCTTTACCTTTTAAAGACCATGTTTGTTTAAGACAGTTTTAAGGTAAATAAAACTACTAATTTACAAATAGAACTAATTAGATATTTTGATTGTAGAGCTATACCATTTAGAGTGTGATTTACTTACTTCAGGTTAGAATTATCACATGAAATTTAAAATCCATTTTATTTCCATAAAATGTTTCTTATTTACCATTCGACTGTGCTTGAACATTCAACCAAAGAATCAGCTATATTATTTAATAAAATTGACATTTCAAACCGTTATAAAGAAAGTTAGTCTGGATCACTGGAGCTTTTGTCTGGATCACTGGAAATTTAACTCTAAAAAATCTACACACATTTTTTAAAGGTTTAAATATAAATACAGTTAACACAGTTTGACAATTTTTAGTAGGCCCTAATGATTTTTGTGTGAGCGAGACTTTTAATTTGAAAAACTTATTTAAACTAATCAACTCTTTTATTATGTTTTATTTGTCATTTCTTGTATTTAAATTGTGCTCAAAGTAAATCCACCAAAAAATGTCTAGTACAAAACACATAAACTGAAATTAGCAATGATAATCTATTTTTCTATGAATTATGCAACCAATTAGTAATTTTCAGATTATAATACTCAACTAAAAATGTAGGTTTTACAGGTAGACATAATGACCCATACCTATTGTTTTGTTTTCATTTACCAACAGATACAAAGTCTAACTCCATGACTAGTGATTAATTGACACATACACCAATTGTGGTTTTTGTTTTCTATCCAAAATAGGACAACATTCCATAAATCACTGTTGGTGCTTTAAGTACTTGACAAACGATTTCTTCTGTTTACCAATGCCTCAGCCCAACTTGGTTGAAGCAATTTAAAACTTGTAATTTTTAGTTGTTTTTTTTTTTTTATTAAAAACACAGTTTTAATTTTTGGTGATAAAGAGAGCCAATTTAGACATAGTTTTAAGTTCCAGAGAGGTTAATTACTACTACTCTACCATTCATAATTTTAAATTTGATCTGCTAGCTCATTTCTACATGTTTGACATCAGCAATTTAATAGATTTATAATTAATTTCATCTTTTACCACATAATTAGAGTAGCCTATGTGTTTCCAGATGTTTTGACAACATAGACAGGCGAAAGGAAGCTGTGTTTCTTGCATTGCTGATACTTCCTTCAGTGTATCTCTACACTCTCGCCTACCTTATGCAGGTACCTTGTTGATTGTTTTGACCTCTCTATTTGTATGGACACTTAAGTTGGCATCAAACTATTTTATCACGATTTGTGCTCAGCAATATCTTTACAGTTCTATCAATATTATTATTTAACTTTTATTTTCTTATAATTCATACACCTTAATACTACCTACCAATTTATGATCCTAGATGGATAAACTCAGAACACTAAAAAAAAAATATCGTACCTTAAAACAAAATAGAATTCTGCAAATCATTCTGCAGTTCTCCGTATTAGACTGTGTCAAGGTATCTACATTTAACAATGTCATAATTATTGTGGTTAGGCTATGATAATCAATTTGCACAATGTCAACATAACTAGAGTAAAAGCCCGCTAGTTAGGCATCCTACGGTCTATCACTTTCAATAAACCGGCATCAGTCCAAAGTTCTAAAAAAATTTACCTTTCCAGTTAACATTTTCATTATCAATGTGCTCTTGTATTTTCCGCAATACACTGAGAAATAATCACTTCAATGCGTTAACAACATACACACAAAAGACAGAATATAATTGGGACATTTACTATGCTTTAACCAAAGTAAAATACAGGTGAAATAAGTATTTGCAATCTTAGTGTCATAAAATGTTATCATGTCATATTTACTTATCGTGCAGTGATAATGCCGTCTGAAATAACAATTATTTATTTTTCCATAATCACAAGATGACTCAACATAATGCCAAAATGACAGCATACTATATAAAACTAGCTGTAACCCGCAGGCTTTGCCCCGTTTAACTTCTTAATTTTCGAGATGAACTCGTTCGCATGGCTCAATCACGTCCTGGTTGAAGTTCGTTCGCTACGCTCAGTCACCTTTAGGTTGGAGCTCGTTCGCTGCGCTCACTTGCCTTCAGGTTAGCTCGTTCGCTTCGCTAACTCGCCTCCAGGTTGAAGTTCGTTCGCTATACTCACTCACCTTTTGGTTGCAAATTAGCTGTTGCCATAAATGTAAAAGAAATAATAGTGCTGCACCCTGTTGGTAATCCTTGTAACCTTAATGCTATTGAACATCATAGAACAGAACCAACTTGTTTAATTGAAACAGCTGTTAAGATTCATTAATTCAATTTCTCATAAGGTTAACATGGGAAACTACAGAGCCACTGGGGCAGAGCCGATTGGACGGATCACGAAATTGATGGTGTATAAACCTATTCCATGAAATTCTACACGTATGTACCAAGTTTCGTGGCAATCGGTTCAGCGGTGTCTGAGTTTATCACTGCCAAATATATATACAAACATCCTCTTTTATACTTACGAGGTGTTAGCCCGTCCTACGTACGGGAATTCAGTAGTCAGTTAAAACCGTGTACAATTCAGATCAGCTAGTTTACACATACTGTATAAAGACAAAGTTTCTTGCAGTTTTAATGTGAAAAATCATCTTGTAAACAAATGTTGTGTGACCAAATATGTTTTTATTCCACCATAGGCCTATACGATATGCATTTTAAATCCGATAATTTTACAATAAAACAGCAATTCTGCAATTTTTACGATGTGAAAAGCGTTGAAGTGAGATTTGCAGCCGATTCGCACAGATGCACACTGATTATAAGTAGCCTACAGTAGAGAGAGTAATAGTCAATTGAGAAGTGTATAGACGTAGTCAACGATACCACCTTCCATATCATACCTGCCTCTTCCATAATTATTATCACCACAATACAACTACCATACACAATTTCCAGTAGGTCTGAATAGAAACGACCTAAAATAAAACGATAATATCCAATAAAATTCACAGTACACATAATTTAACTTTGGTGTCCTAACATCAAAACTAATCGTCACACCTATCCTTTATATCAATTTCACTGCATTAATTGCTAAATAAATAAGTGTAAACAAAGAAAAGTACAAACAATAACAGTTTGTTTGGAAACAGCTGTTTGGTTCAAATAACATTCATTTAAAAAAAAAAGAAATGGTCACATGTAGCAGGAATATAAAAAGTAAACACGCTAGTAAAGCTAGTGACGTAATTGTCAATGTTTATTATCCATACCGTTATCAGTTCTATCCTTGATAATTACCCACCCTCATTGAATAAATGTACATCGTAATTTCCCATATTAGTTCATTTAAACTACAATATATTCATAGTTGAAATAAAAGTGATATTTTCACGTTTGGGGGCGCTGATATAGGCACCCCCAAACGTAACCACAACTGAACACGATTTCATAAAAGGATGGTTTGTCTAATTGCAGTATCCTAGGTCAATGTTGACGTTGTGTTCAATCTATGTCATCCATCTGTTTATCTTTGTATAAAACCCGGCTGAGGTTATGGTGGTTATTTAAAATCGTGATTCCTGATTATTCTTGATCTTCTTTTTATGACATCAATATTTCCGGGCCTAATCCAAACAAAGTTAAAGCAGACAAACATTAATTGTAAACAGAGAGCTACCATGAAGAATTAAAACATGTAAACATTGTTATTTTTCTAATCTTTCCTTGAAAAGTGGAGCATTAAAATAATTTGCATTCATCCATTTTTATTAAGACTCGTGTACAGAGCCTCGATTTGTACTGTGGTTTAATTAATTTTGGTCTAAACTATTTTAAACTGTGGTCTAATTATCTCTACTAATCTTACTTATTGCCTATAATCAATGACAAAAAAAGAGTAAATAAAATAACCTCATAGCTCCATAGTTTTTATTTAACCAGCTGTTAAAACAAATTATATTGCTCTAAAACAAATCGAAGATTGCTTTAAAAATAATTTGAACATCCTAGTATTTTACTATGTATATTTAATTAATCTGTCATCCTCTTACAGAAGAATTGAACGTATCAATGATTAGCATTACACATAGTATAAATACGTCAACCCTAAGTATGTCTTTACATTTTTATCCAAATGCTGAATTTGTGACACAAAAGCTAAATGTTTACAGCTGTTATGTTAAGCAAATTATTTTATGCCAAAAGCTAGTTTAGAATCTTAGCGTCGGTTGCTAGACTTTTAAAAAATTAAAACTTAATTTCTATAAAACTGGGACCCTAAACTAAAATTATGGCTTCGACATTCCCTAGTTCCTAAAATTATCTTTCTTTCAACACAAAAATCATGAAAATCGGTCTAGTGGTTGATTCAGAATCGTGAAATAAAAAAACACTGTTTCGTTTTAATATTATAGATAGATGAAGTACTAAAAACAATTTAAATTGGTAATTTACAATAAACAGGCCACAAACTATTGATAGGCTACGTAAACAATGTAAAGCGTAAATAATTCAAATTCATGTTAGTTTCCTCAAAAATGTTTTACTCAAATTTGTTAAAATTTTCATAGCATGAAATAACATTTTGGAATCCAGACAGAAAATGCAAAACTTATACAGTAAGACATCAATTAAATTGAATAGGACTGTAAGAAAGAAGATGCAACGAGAACGATAACTAATTGTTGTATAGTGATTTGTTGCTACCTAAAAATGGATCTCGCTACTACCGGTTCCAAAGAAAAGTAACAGTACCAAAAACCAACGTCAAAATATGGTTACGGACAGTTGGGTAGGCCTGTGTACCCACAGGAGATGAGCCATATATTGGCGGTGGTTAGCAGTCATCGAAGCACTGTCAATGCGTGAAAACCTTGTTTGTAAGCTATTAAAAAATGTTTATCTTCGGGCCAGAGACATAATGTGTTTATGTTTAAGATCCATACCGTTTCTGCTTCAATATTCGTATATATTACCCTAAGTTCGTTCGTATTGTAATATTTTAGCTACACAAATGGGTAAAATCAAAATATATCCTACCTCAAAGGAAAACAATTAAATTTAAAACGGTTGTAACTTAAGAAAGATGCAGCACCAACTATAACTAAGATTTAAAGTAGTGGTGTGTTGTGTTGTAAAAGTGACTCATGCTAACACTCGTTCTTGGAAAAAGTACAGTTACCAAAAATCTTGGTCAAAATGTGGTTATGTAAAATACAGGGTGTTTTTAAAAGAATGCCGGGATTTTAAATGATAATTGCTTGGGTACCATTCAAGGTAACTAAACGTTTTATATGTCAAATTGAAGCTTAAATAACTAAGTTTTGTTTCCCATTTACCATTTACCATCGATGTCTTCTCCGCCGTCCTTGTTGACAGGGGAATCGTCAATTTTCTTGTAATAGTGTATGTGTGTGAGAGTGTAATTGAGCATTGCTTTCCTATTTATTGTTTAGGTTATATTTGTGTTCGTTGATAAATCCAGTTAATTTATAATATGGTCGTTCAATAAGGTATTGTTTGAGTTGTTTTTTAAAAGCTTTATTTTCATTTATTTCTTTGAGTTTCTTTGGCAAGAGATTAAACATTTTGATCCCCATGTTGTTTGGGGTTTTGCTGGTTTTGTTTAGCCTATTGTACCCTAAGTCTAGATTTGTTTTGTTTCTGATGTTGTAGTTGTGACATTGGGTTCTGAGTTGGGGAGGATTTGATTTGATTGAGGTAATAGTTTCAAAAAGGTAAAGGGATATTACAGTTAGGATTTGGTTTTTGATAAAAAGAGGTTTGCAGTGGGCTTGTGGTTCATCTTGATCGATTTGTTCTATTATCCGAATTGCTTTCTTCTGTGAGGTTATTATTTTCTCGATGTGGATTTCATTTGCAGAGCTGGGGGCCTATTATGTCATATCTGATATGTGATGAAAAAATTGCATGATAAGCAGTTATAGTGATTTCTTTGTTTGTTAGGCTTCTAATTCTTCTTAACGCATATACAACTTGTGACAGCTTTCCACCCAGTTTTAGAAGGTGATCGTGCCATGTTAGGTTTTTGTCCAATATTATTCCAAGAAATTTAGTGTTAGTTTGTGAGTGTTCATCTGCAGTTGAATTTTCATTGTTATGGTTTGTAGGTTTGAAGTTTATTACTATTGTTTTCTGTTTATTTATTGTTAAGTTTATTTTGTTGCAAGTAGCTGTAGAGATTTGTAGGGTTTCGTTTGTTTT